ACTATTCCTATAGGAGGGAACTTTCTCAATCAGATAAAGGGCATCTACCAAGAACTCACAGCTAACATCATACTTAATGGTGAGACTACATTTTCCCCTTAAGGTCAGGAACAAGACAATAATGCCCACTTTCACAACTTCTATTCAACTGGTGGTTCTAGCAAATGCAAAAAGTCAAGACAAACTCAAGAGATGCAGAAAAAGATTTTGACAAAATTCAACACCCCTTGATGATAAGAACATTCAACAAAGTAGGAATTGAAAAGAACTTCTTCACCTGAAAAAGAATGTGTATAAAATACCCATAGCTAACACCATACTTAATGGTCTTAAAGACTGAAAGTTTTCCCCCTAAGATCAGGAATAAGACAAGGATGTTGGTTCTCACCACTTCTATAACATTGTACTGAAAGTTCTAGTCAGGGCAATTAGGCAAGAAAATGGACTAAAGGACACCCAGATTGGAAAGGAAGAATTCAAACTATCTCCACTTGCAGATGACATAATCTTGTCTATCGAATCCTAAGGAATCCACTAAAAAACTATTGGTACTCTAAATCAGTTCAGTTTATCAAGGTAGCAGGATAAAAGATCAATATACAAAAATAATTGTATTTTTATATACTAGCAATGAACAACTCAAAAATGAAATTAGGAAAATAATCCCATTTACAATAGCATCAAAAAGAATGAAATACTTAGAAAAAATTTAACAAAAGATGTGTAAGACTTATACACTGAAAACCACAAAATATTATTGAGTGAAAATAAAAACCTAAATAAATGACACAACATCCTGTGCTCATGAATTGGATGACTCAATATTGTTAACACTCTCCAATTCTATCTATAGGTTCCACAATATATATCAAAATCTAATTTGCCTTTTTTTTTGCAGAAATTGACAAACTGATACTAAAATTCATAAGGAAATGCAAGAGACTCAATAGTCACAACATTTTGGAAAAGAGGGGCAAAGTTGGAGGCCTCTAACTAATTTCAAAACAAAATACAAAACTACAGTAATGAAGACTGTGTGGTACTGGTATAAAAGTAGCCATATAGATCTGTAAAATAGAAATGAGGTAAACGTATGAGAAACTAAGGAAATGAAGAATGACAATAACTAACTCCAGGAGACAAAAAGCTGTGCAGGTAGTGAAAATTGATCAGAGTATTCATGGCTGAGCCATGAGTAGCATTTACATACTTATAGTTATGTAAATGTTGGATATTCTCCTAATATTAGGAGAAAGGTGAAACAGTGGGGGGTGGGTTGGGGGTGGAGAACTTGAAATGTGTAAGTGTATGATGTGGACCAAAAGATGGTGTAGGTAACAGAGGGCTAAATGTTCATTCTCTGAAATGGAAAACCATAGATAAGTTGAAACATCTAAAATTGAAACATGAAGAACTCATAAGCATTATCTAAAGTTATGACTCTTTAATTCAGTGTGTTTTGAAACTGTCAGTTATAATCATGTAATGTATTTAAGAGATCAATGTAATGGGTCGCCACCAGCATTTATTACAACATGAATAAAAAACATCATAGCCAAACTATGGAAAAAGCCCAAACATCCATCAACTGATGAATGGATAAAGAACAGGTCATATATATACATGAATATACAATGAAATATTACTCAGCCATAAAAAAGAATGAAATCTTGCCATTTGCAATGACGTGGATGGAGCTACAGAGTATTATGCTAAGTGAAATGAGTCAGTCAGAGTAAGACAAATACCATATGATTTCACTCACATGTGGAATTTAAGAAACAAAACAGATGAACATAGGGAAAAGAAAAGAGAGAGGCAAACTAGGAAACAGACTCTTAACTATACAGGACTAGCTGAGGGTTACTGGAGAGGAGGGGAGGATGGGTTAAATAGGTAATGTGTATTAAGGAGGGCACTTGTGATGAGTACCAGCTGTTGTATGTAAGTGATGAATCACTAAATTCTACAACTGAAACTAAAATTACACTGGATGTTAATATTAACTGGAATTTAATAAAACCTTGAAAAAGAAAAAATATAAAACTAGGGTGTTTGCCTGATGGGGGAAAAAAAGAGTGGCAGGTGCTCACAAATTCATCACTTATCTTTGAAATTTCATATTGCCTTCCCATATATTAAACTGAATTAGATTTTTAGGATTTTAAGCCTCAAGAAAAACAGGAAGGAATATATTTTCTTATAGAAATCATTTGCCCTCCTAATTCAAAATTTATACCATAGTGTCTACTGTACTATACATATCAAATTAATATTAATTTCCTCTTTCCCCTTGTCTTACCCAACAGTCCCAGGCTAGGCAAATACAGCTGGTGGTGTAATGAACCTAAGGTATATAGATATAGACATAAATTTCACTGTTACTTCATCATTTTAAGTTCCCTTTTGCCATGTACAACTTTTAATACATTCCAGTGTGTAGCTTACATTACATATGATCCTACTTTTTATGTGGGCTCTTTCTTAAATATATTGGAAGTTTCTAAATTAAAAAAAAATTAATTGGATAGAGAACTTGTTAGATTTTCTACTTGTATCAGTTATATAAGAAATTCATAGAAATTTTATAAGAAACTCTATAAGAAATTCATCCATTATATTAGGTTATCAAATTTATTGGCATAGTAAATTATTCTTTTATTATCTAAAATAAAACATCAAAGTGAATTGCACACATTAAAGGTAAATATTTTTTTCTTAAACTCACACATATCCTCTGTTGCAATGTAAAATGCAAGTCTTACTTCAGGTCCCAATTAAAGCTATTTGAAAATCAATGCTCTTAACTATGGGTATGTATTACTTTAATAAAAGTATAAACCTTAGGGGGGGTTTAAACATGATAATAAGGTTAATTTAATAAGCATATATCAAATTTTGAACCAGGGAGAGAATTTTTGCTTTTTGAAACCATTTATGCAGAATCATTTAATTGTTTAGGAATAAAACTCATTTCATTACTCTATATATGGTGATTGCCCATGCTCTTTGGCTCTAAATGTATTAATTTTTGAAAATATTTATCTTTGTCATTGCATTTATGGAATCAGTTGTACATTCCAATCAAGTCACATTCAAAATAAAGCCCAACTCGGGGCGCCTGGGTGGCGCAGTCAGTTAAGCGTCCGACTTCAGCCAGGTCACGATCTCGCGGTCCGGGAGTTCGAGCCCCGCGTCGGGCTCTGGGCTGATGGCTCAGAGCCTGGAGCCTGTTTCCGATTCTGTGTCTCCCTCTCTCTCTGCCCCTCCCCCGTTCATGCTCTGTCTCTCTCTGTCCCAAAAATAAATAAACGTTGAAAAAAAAATTAAAAAAAAAAAAATAAAGACCAACTGCTACATTTACTATTCTCATGCCTATGCTTTACCAAATACATTTGTATTGGCTGCCTGGAAAAAATTCATAAGCAAAACATATAGTTAACTAGTAGCTGAAGGAAAAATATTTATTGTGCAGTTTAAAAATTACCAACAAACTAAATTCATTTCAAAAATTGTAAAGTATAGAAAAGGAAAATAAGGAGAAAAAATTTTATTCCATCATATAGCCCCAAAATAGCTATGGTGGATATTTCAGTACCTACTTTTCCATACTTATTTTTATAGCTATATAAATGAACATGTCCATAAATCTTTATATGGTTTATGTAAGATATAAACAATTTGGAAAACAACAGAGAGGAAATCTGTCCAATATTTACATTACAGTTTTGTAATTTATTTTCCAAGTAATAATGTATTCTTTATACTGAATGCTTCAATTGGGTTATGTTTCATAACTTAAATGCTGGTGATTATATTGAAAACTAACATCCTGCAATAAAATATAGAAGAATGTGAGTAAATCTCACTGTGGCATTTTAAAGATTTTTTTTTCTGCTTTATGTATCTCATATCTTTGTGGATGTTTGTATTTTATTTTTCAAAACAAAAAAGGAAGTTAGTCTACTTTGCTATAATTTGTTTCTTTCATGTACTGGATTAGATACATCTCATACATATTTTTTCTATGTCCATAGGGCATATATAAAAACTGGTCATCTACTAGATCACGGAGAACACCTAATTCTTTTTTTTTTTTTCAATATATGAAGTTTATTGTCAAATTGGTTTCCATACAACACCTAGTGCTCATCCCAAAAGGTGCCCTCCTCAATACCCATCACCCACCCTCCTCTCCCTCCCACCCCCATCAACCCTCACTTTGTTCTCAGTTTTTAAGAGTCTCTTATGCTTTGGCTCTCTTCCACTCTAACCTCTTTTTTTTTTTTTCCTTCCCCTCCCCCATGGGTTTCTGTTAAGTTTCTCAGGTTCCACATAAGAGTGAAATCATATGGTATCTGTCTTTCTCTGTATGGCTTATTTCACTTAGCCTAACACTCTCCAGTTCCATCCATGTTCCTACAAAGGGCCATATTTCATTCTTTCTCATTGCCATGTAGTACTCCATTGTGTATATAAACCACAATTTTTTTTTATCTATTCATCAGTTGATGGACATTTAGGCTCTTTCCATAATTTGGCTATTGTTGAGAGTGCTGCTATAAACATTGGGGTACAAGTGCCCCTATGCATCAGTACTCCTGTATCCCTTGGGTAAATTCCTAGCAGTGCTATTGCTGGGTCATAGGGTAGAAGACCTAATTCTTTTTTTTTAATTTTTTTTCAATGTTTTTTATTTATTTTTGGGACAGAGAGAGACAGAGCATGAACGGGGGAGGGGCAGAGAGAGAGGGAGACACAGAATCGGAAGCAGGCTCCAGGCTCTGAGCCATCAGCCCAGAGCCCGACGCGGGGCTCGAACTCACGGACCGCGAGATCGTGACCTGGCTGGAGTCGGACGCTCAACCGACTGAGCCACCCAGGCGCCCCAGACCTAATTCTTAATATAAGAAATCCTACAGGGTACATTGTCTGAGCAGGGAGGGATTCAAACAAACTTGAAGACCCAAGTATTTTTTTTTTTTTAAATCAGGAAATACCATCACTCAGCCATGCTTTTCACTTTAAGAATGGAAGGAAAAGTCAGGTGGGAAGGGCAGCTGGAATGCCTGTGACACGTGAGTGGGGTCGTGCGCAAACCTTGTGTGATGTCACTGAGGCACCTAGAGAAAAACGGCCACTTGTTTCTAAGCCGCCCTAAGGAGAGGTGCGTCGGAGCCTCAGGGGCAGTTGTGGGCCCGCTCGCCCTAAGATCTCACCATCGCCATGAGCAATAAGGAATGCTTCAAGTGTGGACGCTCTGGCCACTGGGCCCGGGGATGCCCTAGAGGAGGAGGAAGTCAAAGGCGTGAAGCTAGAGGCCGTGGCAGAGGTTCCCAGTGCAGTTCCGCCAACCCGTCTGACATCTGTTACCGCTGTGGTGAGTCTGGTCATCATGCTAAGAATTGTGATCTCGAGAAGATCTGCTACAACTGTGGGAGAAGTGGCCACATCGCCAAAGATTGTATTGAGCTTAAGCGAGAGAGAGAGCAGTGTTGTTACACTTGTGGCAGACCAGGCCATCTGGCTCGTGATTGTGACCGTCAGGAAGAGCGGAAGTGCTACTCTTGTGGTGAATATGGCCACATTCAGAAAGACTGCACCCAAGTCAAATGCTACCGGTGTGGTGAGATTGGCCACATGGCCATCAACTGCAGCAAGACGAGTGAAGTCAACTGCTACCGCTGTGGCGAGTCTGGACATCTGGCCCGGGAATGCCCCATTGAGGCTACCACTTAATTTTTTTTCCTTTGTCCCTCCCTCCTTTTGTTGTCCCTCCCTCCTTTTGGCTGGAAAAAAAATCTCCAAATAAGTTGTTCACTTTTAGATGTCTTATACTGTAATTAATGGGTTTCTGCACCATTGGTGAATCTGATTATTGGACAGTCATTCTGGGTATCAGCCAATTTCTAGGTTCTTTGTGTTTTGCTTTAGCATTTAATTAAGGGCTACTACTGTGTGCCAGCCCCTGTTGGAGGAATTGAGGATATATCAGTGAACAAATAAGATCGAGTTTGGGAACATAGGCCTAGGATCTATTGAAAAATAATATAATGTGTCAGCGGAGATAAATTGCTGTAGAGAAAAAGAACACCAGGTAAAAGAATGGAATGTGCATGGGGAGGGGACATATGGTTCTGTCTTAGATACACAAAGTACCCCGAGATGACATTTCCTCAGAGATTCATTGCATAAATAAAGCTAATTCTGAAAATGTGTATGACCTTGCTAAATAACTTTAACTTTATTATATATTGATTGCTTTGAATTTTCTGATCTCATTAGCTTTTAAATAACATTGAAAGACATCTTTACCTGGCCCTACAAAGAGTGTATAGTTTAGTGAAAATAAACCAGAAAAATATGTATAATGTATGTAAGTAGCTTTGAGACAGAGAGCAATGACAAAAAAAACAAAAAAAAACCTTCAGAAAAAATTGTTGACATAAACCTACTTATGGGAAAGTTTAGACTTAAATATTTTTTAAAATCTAAGAAGTGTAGACATTAAGATTGGAACTTTGGCGATTAAAAAAATGCTCATTTTCATAGATAGGAAAGTTATATTTATATTTAAGAGTTTATGAAAAATGTATTGTCACAGTTATAAAAATGTTCAGTTTCATATGCTGAAATCTATTTTTAAAAATCAAATCTGAAAAGCAATTGAAGTTCGATAAAATAGAAGACACTTTTAAGGGGCGCCTGGGTGGCTCAGTCGGCTAAGCATTCAACTTCATCTCAAGTCATGATCTCATGGTTCCTGAGTTCAAGCCCCATGTCAGGCTCTGTGCTGACAGCTCAGAGCCTGGAGCCTGCTTTGGATTCTGTCTCTCTCTCTCTCTCTCTCTCTCTCTCTCTCTCTCTGTCTCTCTCCCCTCTCTCTCTCTCTCTCTCTCTCTGCCCCTTCCCTGCTCGTGCTCTGTCTCTCAAAAATAAACATTAAAAAAAAAATTTTTTAATTAAAAAAAAAGAAAAGGCACTTTTAAATTCTAAATAAAGGGGCGCCAGAGTGGCTCAGTCCGTTAAGCGTCTGACTCTTGGTTTTGGCTCAGGTCATGATCTCATGGTTCATGAGTCCAAGCCTGCATCAGGCTCTTCGCTGATAGTGCAGAGCCTACTTGGGATTCTCTTTCTCTCTCTCTCTCTGCCTTCCTGCACTCTATCTTTCAAAATAAACAAACATACAAAAATAAAAATAAATTCTAAATAAAACCTGGGATGGTGGAGGTAACTATTGTGTCAAGAAAAAAATTGAAGTTGTAATGAAAAAATGATTTGAAAATAATAACTACACATTAAATCCCAAGGATCTGATGGAATTTATACTAGAAAAGATAGTGTAGGGGCGTCTGGGTCGCTCCGTCAGTTAGGTGTCTGACTCTTGATTTTGACTCAGGTTATGATCTCTCGGTTTGTGGGTTCAAGCCCCACAGTAGGCTCTGTGCTAGGAGTGAGGAGCTTGCTTGGGATTCTCTCTCTCTGTCCCTCTCCCATTTGCATGCATACTTGTGCATGCGTGCGTGCTCTCTCAAAATAAATAAACCTAAAAAGAAAAAGATAGTGTAGAAGGTACAATTTTTGCTCCATAAATTCATGAGGTCAAGGAAATGTAACTGATTTTATAACTGAAGCCACAACCTTTTATGAACCTTTATAAAACCTGATGTATAATCCTTCATTCCCATCTAAAAGATTCCTTCAATACAGCTGAGTTTCAACTTCTGTGACCCTCTTGGCCTCCTAGAAATTGATTCTGTTACTCTGTGCTGTCACAACAAAATAAACTCAGGCACACCCCCATCCCCTATGTGAGGCAATCTCAGTTCAATCTGCCAATTCACAACATGAAACCCCTGCATCACACTGAGCCAAACAAATTCTCATTTGTGATGTGGGTCTGAGCTCTAGGAAAGAATTAATACAGATTTCTGCATTTGAATCCCCCCCCAAAAACCATCTGGAATTTCTTTTACTGTGTCCTCTGAAGTTTGTCCCAGAGCTGGAGGGGGAAGATAAGCTATCTTCCTTTATAAAGGACACACTCAGCTTTTAAGTCCTCTTTACATTCCCCCTAGGCAATCTGTTTCTAGTTTAAGAGGAAAGGAAGCCTTATTTTGACTCATTAGTATCCCTGTTTCAGAAGTTACAAAATGGCAGCCATTTACTGAATCAGGTCCATAGTATGTTTAGTCTGACCCATATATTAACAATATTCATGAATTAGATGTCAACATTTAAAAATTGGAACATTTTCCATAGAAATTCTTATTTTTTTGGTCTCTCTGGAACAAAAAACAAAGATCAGGAAGCAATAGGTACCCATTTCTGTGAATCTTGGAAAAACCCTGGAAAGCATTTCTCATTAACTTTACCTGCCAGGCCCCTCCAGTTGCTTCAGTCTATAACCTTTGCTGTATGCTTGGGGATAGGGGTAAACAACTACCTAACACTCACCACACAAGCTTATTATTTTTAAAAAAAAATGTTTATTTATTTTTGAGAGAGAGAAAGAGACAGAATGCAAGCAGGGGAGGAGCAGAGAGAGAAGGAGACACAGAATCCAAAGCAGGTTTCAGCTGCCATCTCAGAGCCCAGTGTGGGGCTTGAAGTCACAGACTGCAAGATCATGACCTGAGCTGAAGTCGGATGCTTAACTGACTAAGCCACCCAGGTGCCCCTCACTACATAAGTTTAAATAAAGCTGTTTATATTCTCATATTTGTAGATACAATCAGGAAAGCACATTATATCAATAGAGGCTAAAAAGACATTTTATCTAATTCAAGTTACTTTCTAATTTAAAAACAAAATAAAACATCTCCTAGAAAGTAACTTACAGTAGGGTTTCATGGGACTTCTGCTTCCAAGAAGATTGAATAGATATACTTTTACCTATTCTTCCCATTCAGTTCAATAAAAACCTTGAACATTATAAAACAAACATAAAAAGACTCTGAAAGGTAGAGAGAAAAAGATGGGCAAGTGCTTCCAGATCAAAGGAACTACATAGCAGTGAGTTCCCAGAGCAGTGGGTTTTCTTTTTGCCTCGTATATCCTGGACTTGAAGCTGAAGAAGCTAGCAACCCAGGAATTTTAACAGGCCCAGAAATAAAAAGCCCCAACAAAAGCCTACTTTGACGAGCCAAAGGGCCAGGAGAGAGTCAACTTAGAAAGATAGAAAACTTTTAGACAGTAACTGCTCTACTTTAGCCAAACATCACAAGTAAAACTATGGCCCCAGGGTCGCCTGGGTGGCTCAGTTGGTTAAGTGTCTGACTCTTGATTTTGGCTCAGATCATGATCTCACGGTTTGTGAGTTTGAACCCCTTGTAGGGTTCTGCACTGACAGTATGAAGCCTGCTTGAAATTCTGTCTCTGCCCCTCCCCCACTAGCACTCTCTGTCTCTCTCAAAATAAATAAAGTTAAAAAAAACACCTATGGCCGCATCCCCACCAGCAAAGGCCTAATTAGGATCCAAGACTTACATCCTGATATAATTGCAACAAAGTGCCCCAGCACCTCAGTTGGAGTACTGTCCACAGAAAGCCCAGTGGTAATGAAGTGACTTTTTGAAAATATTTTACAAATTGATAAACCTCTAGCAAGACTAACAAAGAGAAAAAAAGGAGGAGACATAAATTACCAATGTCAGTAATGAAATAAGGGATATCACTATCAAGCCTGCAGACATCAAAGGAATAATAAAGGATTATGGTGAACAACTCTATATACATAAATTACACAACTTAGATAAAATGGACCAATTCTTTGAAAAACACAAACTATCACAACTCACCCAATATAAAATGGATAGTGTGACTAGCTCTATAACTACTAAGGAAATTGAATTAGTAATTAAATATTCCCCTCAAAAAATCTCCAGGCCTATGTGATTTCACTGTAAAATTCCATCAAACTTTTGAGAAAAAATTCATACCAATAAAAAGCCTCAAGAAAAGCTTAATTTTACTATCTAAGATAGGCAGCCTAGAAGGATAAAAAATAGAAGATGAAGGAACATCTTTTGATACATTTTATAAAACTAGAATTACCTTAATAGCAAAATTAGACAGTGACCATGAAAAAAAAAAACTACAGATCAATATCCTTTATGAATATAAATGCAAAAATCCTTAACAAAATATTAGCAATTAAAATTCAGCAATATATTAAAGGAATGATATACATCATAACCAAATGAGATTTTTTCCAAGGATGCAAGTCTGGTTCAATATTCAAAAATCAATAAATGTAAGCCAACATATTAACAAGCTAAAGAAGAAAAACCACATAGTCATGTAAAATTAATGCAGGAAAGGCCTTTGATAAAATCCAACGTTCATTCATTATATAAACTCTCAGAAAAATGGGAGTAGAGGGAACTTCCTTGACATGATAAAAAACATCTACAAAAACTATGGTTAACATTATATTTAATAGTGAAAGACAGAATACATTTCTTTGGAGGTCAGGAAAAAGGCAAGGCTATAGGCTGTCACCACTCTTATCACAAGTTGAAGTTAGTGCCATAAGATAATAATGGGAAATGGAAGGCATACAAAGTGAACAGGAAGAGTTAAAGTTATTCCTTTTGGCAGGTGACATGAGTGTCTACTTAGAATATCCCAAGTAATCACCAAAAAAACCCTCCTAAAAGTAATAATTTCAACAAGGTTGCAGGGTACACAAAAAACACAAAACTCTTGTATTTTTATATCCTAGCAATGAATACATGAATACTGAAATTAAAAATTCAATACCAGTTATAATCACTCAAAAAAAAGAAATACCTAAGTGTCAATTTAATAAAACATGTACAATAATTGCATACTGAAAGGTACAAAATGGTGATGAAAGAAATCAAAGATCTAAATAAACAGACAGACATGTTAATGCAAATCCTATCAAAATCTCAGCAAGATTTGGGGTGCTTGGGTGGCTCAGTTGGTTAAGCACCCGGCTTGATTTCAGCTAAGGTCATGATCTCATGATTGTGAGATCAAGCCCTGCATCAGGCTCCATGGAGCCTGCTTAGGGTTCTCTCCCTCCCTCTTTCTCAGCCTCTCTCCTGCTTTCTCTCTCTCTCTCTCTCTCTCTCTCTCTCTCTCTCTCTCTCTCTCTCTCAAAAGAAAGAAATGAACATTAAAAAAATTCTCAGCAAGATTTTTTTTGTATATATAGATTATTCATTTATAGGCAAAGGCAAAGTAGAATAGTTAAAGCAATTTTGAAAAACAAGAATAACATGGGAAGAATTGGTCTATCTAATTTCAAGACTTATTTTATTGCCATAGTAATCAAGACTGAGTGGTATAGGTGGAGATATAGACATGTGTAGATCAATGTAACAAAATAGAAAACAGGAGTAAATTCTTATAAATATGCACAACTGAACTGTGATAAAGGTGTACAATCAATTCAATGGAGTAAAAAAAAAAAGGAACCTTATCTTAAGTCTCACATCATACACAAAAATCAACTAAAAAATCAATCACAGACTTAATTGTAAAATTTAAACTATAAAAGTTTTAGGGAAAAGAAAAAAATTTTGGGGAATCTACAGGTAAGTGATAAGTTCCTAGGCATGACCACAAAACAAGACCATTAAAGGAACAATTGGTAAATTGGACATCATCAAATTTCAAAACTTTTGCTCTGAAATACCCAACTGACAGAATGAAAAGACAAACTGCAGAATTGAAGAAAATATAAACAACTTATCCAACAAAGGATTAGTATGTAGAATATATCAAGCAACTCTCAAAACTCAACACTTGCAATTTCAAATAATCCAATTAGAAAATGGGTAAAACACATGAAGAGACATTTCACTAAAGAAAATACACAGAGATCAAATAAAGAAACATTAAAATGTTCAACATCATTATCCACTAGAGAAATGCAAGTAAAAGCCACAGTAAGATACCATAATATATTTATCAGGATTGCTAAAACAAAAAATAGTGACAACATCAAATGTTGGCAAGAATGTAGAGAAATTAGATTATTCATACATTGCTGGTAGGAATATAACCTGGTACAGCCACTCTTGAAAATAGTTTGCCAGATTCTTTAAAAAGTACACATGCAATCACCATACAACCCAGCAATTGCACTCTTAGGCATCTAACCAGAATAATGAATACTAATATTCACATAAAAGCCTGTACACAAATGTTCTTAGCAGCTTTATTTGCCAAAAACTTGAAACAATGCAGCTGTAGTTCAATAAGTGTATGGTTAAACTGTGATTATATTCATAATGGAACATTACTCAACAATAAAAAAGAATAAACTATCAATTGATAAACATATGAAGATGAATCTCCAGAGAAATAACATTGAGTGAAAAAGCCAATACCAAAAGGTCATATACTGTATGCACCACTTATGTAATATTTGTGAAATCATACAGTTATAGAAATGGAGAACAGACTAGTGATCATTGGGAGTTAGGGAGGGAGAGTGATGTTATAAGATGCTACCATTGGAGAAAACTTGGTACATGAGATATTTATGTATTACTTCCAACAATTATATATAAATCTGTGATTGTCTTAAAAAAAAGTTTAATTAAAATCTAAAAAAAATTTTTTTTTACATTCATTTATTTTTGAGAGACAGAGAGACAGAGTGCAAGTGGGGGAAGGGCAGAGAGAGAGGGAGACACAGAATCCGAAGCAAGCTCCAGGCTCTGAGCCATCAGCACAGAGCCTGATGCGGGGCTTGAACTCATGAACCGTGAGATCGTGACCTGAGCCCAAGTCGGATGCTCAACTGACTGAGCCACCCAGGCGCCCCTTAATTAAAATTTTTAAAATATTTATTTATTTTTGAGAGAGACAGAGCATGAGTGGGGGAGGGTCAGAGAGAGACACACACAGAATCCGAAGCAGGCTCCAGGCTCTGAGCTGTCAGCACAGAGCCCTACATGGGTCTCAAACTCACGGACTGCAAGATCATGACCTGAGCCAAAGTCGGATGCTTAATTGACTGAGCCACCAAGGTGCCCTTGAAAGTTTAATTTTAAAATATAGGGCTTCACAGTAGAAAAACCTGACAAACACTGCCCAAAGCAGGTGATCAAGTTCAACATGCACAGTCACAAATAATGTTGATAGTATGTACTCATTTTTTTTAATTTAGTTTTTAATTCTTGTATAGTTAACATACAGTATTACATTAGTTTCAGGTGTACAACATACTGATTCAACAATTGTGTACATTGCTCAGTGCTCATCATGATAAATGTTTTCTTTAATCCCCATCACCTACTTCATCCGTCTCCCCACCCACCTCCCCTCTGGTAACTATAAGTTTGTTCCCTAGAGTTAGGAGTATATTTCTTGGTTTGTCTCTCTCTCTTTTCTTTTTCTTTTCCTCATTTTTTTTTTGTTTCTTAAGTTCCACATATGAGTGAAATAATATGGTATTTGTTTCTTTGACTTGTTATGCTTAGCATTATACTTCGTAGCTCCATCTATGTTGTTGCAAATGGCAAAAATCTCATTCTTTTTTATGGCTGAGTAATATTCCATTGTGTATATATACCACATTTTCTTTATCCATTTGTCTATTGATGGACACTGGGACTGTTTCCATAATTTGGCTACTACAAATAATGTTGCAATAAACATAGGGGTACGTGTATCCTTTTGAATTAGTGAGTTTGTAATTGGGGGTAAATGCCCAGTAGTGTGATTACTGGATTGTAGGGTAGTTCTAGTTTTAACTTTTTGAGGAACCTCCATGCTATTTTCCATAGTGGCTCCACCAGTTTGCATTCCCACAAACAGTGTGCGAGGGTTCCTTTCTCCACATCCTTGCCAATGCTTGTTGTTTTTTGTGTTTTTGATTTTAGCCATTCTGACATGTGTGAGGTGATAACTCATTGTAGTTTTGATTTGTATTTCCCTGATGATGAGTGATGTTGAGGTATGTACCCTTGATAGATTATTATTAAAATGATACTTCATCTTGCAATCTTTCTCCTCCAAACATGTAACCCTAGTCTAATCATGAGAAAAAACATCAGACAAACTCTGAGAGAAAGGATTTTTGCAAAATACTGGACAAATACTCCTCAAAACTGTCAAGGTCATCAAAGTTAAGAGCAGCATCAAAATGATCACAGCCAAGATGAGTCTAAGGAGGTATGA